ATAAATATATCTAACCTAATTATTTTATATTATGGTATGTAATAAGATCTATAGATCATTATATTATTGTAATGTTCAATAAATAAGATTCAAGATTCGTTGAGAAAGAATTTGTTTTCATAATTTATGAATACTATTGTTAAAAGAGGAGTTGTACTTCTCACCAAATTTAGTGTTTTGGAAAACAAGATGAACTACAAAGTTGTTGGCCATCCCTACAAAACCAATTTGTTTGAAACAATCGTTCAAAAATCTTACAATGGTGTAGAGTTTACCTCTCTATGGATTCAGTTTTATTTCATTTGATGAGATAATTGGTGGGAGTGTTGAAGTCAATACATCATGTGGTAAAAATATCCTTAAATTTAATTATTATTGTTAAATAGGGTTTATTTACACCAAAAGTTGAGCTTTTGTATAGATTTTATAATATATTGTATCATTTTGTTTACACGTGTAGATGTTATTTGCACAATTGTTGGTGTTGATGATTTTCAGCACTGTCAAAAGGACAGTATAGAAGAGTTGTGAACTTGGAGTTAGAAGATTTGAGGTAAGTATAACTTATCTAAAGAATCACATTTTCAAGATACCAAATTGAAAAGTAAATTGATGTGTGCCCTCTAGGATAAACATGCTCATAATGTGAACTCTTTCCTTGATGTTGGTCGTACTTGTCGTATTTTTTTTTTTTCAAACACAAGCAAAACTATTTATCGTTTGGTAGTCAGCCACCTCATAGTCATTTATTTCAGGGGAATGAACTTGAAGAGTAACACTCCTATTTCCACGGGTTATAAATATCCAACACAAAAAACTAACATATACATGAAGAAATTAAGCAACAAGGCTCTTAGAAAAGAATACAATATTTATTCTCCTAAACTAAAACAATAAAACTTAAAATCTTCATAACTTGGGCTATCATTTAATTTTTTGTTTAGCAATTCAACTGAACCATAGATCCTAGAATACCTACATTTAATGGAAGTCTTCAATATGAATCATGCATCAAACCTACATTTAGTTGAAGTTTTCAATGTATCCAATAGTAAATATGGGACAATTGCCCCCAGTGATAGAAGTTGCGGACCAAGTCTGAAATTCGAACAAGGACATTAGCATCCCCCGGCAAATCTATACTATCTCCACCAATAAAATGTGCACGATGTGTCCACCCGTACAGGGATCTGAACGGGCTGGATGGCATATAACTGCTCTAGTAAGTTCATATGCAGCATCAATAGTCATATCTTCGAGGTAGAGACCATCCATGTGTGTCCCACCTGCATTCGATCATACTGGTCATATTTTTATGATCACTTAATTTGAAAAATTTAGAAATTATTCTAGTAAGATTATGCACTATAATTTTATAATATTGAATTAATATTTTTTATTTTACATAAATTATACCTTTTTTGTACATAGAAATTTCTAGACATCCTATCATCTATCTAGGACTAAATTATTCCTCGATAGTGACTTTGCTGAAGTTAAAGAAGTAAACGTGTCAATTATTTGATTGTTAAATGTTACCTTTCTAACACAATCTAATGAGTTAGCTTTCTCCAAATGGTCAAACTCTTTCGGCATTGTTTAATGTACTGAATTTGTGATAAAACTCATTTCGCATGTTCTACTCAATATTTACTCAATTTGCAATTTTTTTTAATACACTTGCATACTATTTAAGTGTGGTATGTAAATATCTTGTCCAAATGTTTTTTTTTTTAAAAAAAAAATACTTTCTAAATTTTTCCTTCAAAACTATTTTATGAAAGGGTTTTTCATAAGCTTGTCTAAATGACCTATATCTTTTCAACATATCTTTCCAGTAACATTCCAATGTTCTAGTAAATAAATATGCAACCACTCCACTGGGATCAATAACAAAAACAATTGGATAGTCTAATCCACACACCATACCATTTTTGGCTATATTGATTTTAAATTTAACTTCATTATCTCTTCCCCTTTCAAAACCATCATCCTTCATTATCAAATCACCTTCAGTTTTTATTTATGGCATGATTCTAATGCACAAAATTATCACCTTCTAAACTCAATTTTTCAATATTCACCTCTATCAGAACCAAAGAGGTATCATCATTCAACACCAGCACTCCCATCACTATTAAAGTGCACAAATTCCATATTCCGAAAGTGTGAGCATTTATCTTTTTCCTGTCGTTCCTCTTGCTGACTTAGCTCACGGGAAGGATTTTTCTCTACTAATTTTGGGGATGCTCTCAAGTTTCCATAGAATTCTTCAGCGAGTAGACCATGCAAATCTGCCGCAGGTAGCTCAGCTTCTTCCTCAACTTTTGGCTACGTGACTAAAAAATCCTTCAGGTCATCTGGAAATTCTTCCATGTCTAGCGGTATTGCGGCTAAGAGAATCGACGAATTGGCCTCCACTCTCATCTGCAAAACTTCTGCGGCTTCATCTATGCCCAAAATTTGGAACCAAGCAAAGAAGCTATCCATCCTTGCATTAAATCTCTTCAATGACTCATTAAATCTCTTCGATGACTTCAACATGTCAGCCATTACATCATTAATCTTATCCATTCTTTCACAAATGGATGCGAATGTATAATCAAGACTATTTTTTTCGGTCATTTTGCTATCCACAGTCGGATTACACTAGCTCTAGATACCAAATGTCATGAAGTGACCTCGAGAATCAAGAACAGAGTTCAGAATTCAGAAAAAGAAAAAAAGGAGAATAATGGCAGAAGAGGAGCATATCAAATTAGGGATTGAGAAGGAAAAATGTGGAGAAAAAGAATTTGGAGGAAGGAAATATAAATACTATGTTTCCGGTTTTATTTTTTCTAAAGAATGAAAGATACACCCCTCAAATATGAAAAAAAAAACATTGAATTCTGAAAATAGAGAAAATCAAAGAAAGAAAATTCCAAAAAAAAAACATAGAAACTGATATTTCAAACTAAGAAATAAAAATGGTTACTATTAAGAGTAGATAATAATTTATATATAAATCAATTCCAACTTTTGGCAGAAATAGAGATTGTGGAGGCAACTATGTATGTGAGGACAAAGAAGATGATTCAGATGAAAAGGTTACTAGAGAAATGGAAAAGATTTAGATCAGAGCAATTGACTAAAGCAATTTTTAGTCTTGACAACAGAGCCGGTGACAAGTCGGCTCCAATATTTGGTAGAGGTAGTGGCTGTGGAAGATACAAATGAGTGTATGGATAAAGAAGAATATTCAGATGAAAACTCTACTGCAGCAACGATGGAAGATCCGCTTATAGAAATGACAGTCACCCTAATTTCCGATGAGGATCAATTCGCGAGGCAGTGTGGCTTGAAAATGGATGAGACGAAAAAAAAAAAGCCAGATCGAAAAAAGTAAGCTCATTACAGAAAACAAACATCCTCACTCAAATTGCAAATAGTGTTGAGCCTGATTTCATTTACGCTCGTAAACAAAAAAAGAAGCTCAGCACTACCGCAAATCCTACAGTACTCCGCTCAAAAAGAATCAATAAAGCTACTCAAGAAAAGCTGCAAAACTCTCAAGACAAGTTCACTGAGGTGTAGAATCCAATATGAGTCGACAATTTTGTTGACAACCAGCTCCTTTAAAATTAGAATTTTTTTTTGTTATTAAAGGTGGTAAGTCTTATGCACTGCCGCCCCCTCTTTATTTTATTTAAATTTACATAAAAGGGGCCCTATCCCAACAATGCATTGCTTGTTTTGAATAAAAAAAATTATATATAAATTGCGAAAATACTATTTTGTTGTATGCTAATTGCCACAAAAGAAGGCTTGAAAGAAAGAAAGAAAAACAGTTTGGGGAGAAAAAAATAGATTAAATAGAATTTATGTAATATTTACACATTACTGGGAATTTAAAAATTTTATAATCTATTTTGTCTATCTTTTTCATCAAATTAGATGGGTACTTTCGTCCAAATGATTAAATTGACCAAAAAAAAAACTGAAAATTTTGGATGAATTCGATGAATTGCAATAATTTTGAACAAACACGCTGGTTTTCTCTAAATTAAGGAAGGTTAGGAACTTGTCGTTGAGTGAATATATATAGGAAAATGATATGTATAGTGAAAAAGATAGTAAGTGATGTGGAGTATTCTTGGCTCCTAATTTTTTGCCACTTTCCCGTTAAAAGTTTATGTTTCTCTAAACATTACATTTTACCCCTGATTAATAAGAACACATATTTAGTGAGGATGGTGTATTTGTCTTTTCATTAGTCACTATTTCATTTCACTATAATTTGTCACGGTGTCTATCATTGCTCTATATATATACATATATATATATATATATATATATATAGATTATATAGAGATGTATGTGTATATATGTTTGTATGTATATGTATATATATTTTCTCTTTTTTTTTTAAAAAAAAGTCTAAGTTAAGTTTTAAAATTTTTATAATATTTTATAGCTTTTTCTTTCCTAATGGTTTGTTGTTTTGGCTGGGTGTCAATTTCTGACACGACCTGTGAACCGAACACGAACCCGACACGAAATAAATGGATTTGGGTTGAAAATTTTAACCCATATAATAAACGGATCAGTAGGGGGTTGATCTGTTTATTAAATGAGTCGGGTTCGGGTTGACCTGATGGGTTATGTGTGTTACTCATTTAACATGTATAATATGGAATTACTTCAAAATTTTTAGATATAATTACAATTTTAACGTTGATTAATCTTAAAAATTATTTATAAACACTCTTTTTTTTATCCTATTAAAATTTTAAATGGATATCTTTTTTTTAATCTAAATATATGTGAGAAATTACACATTTATTGGTTTTTTATATTAATTTTATTAAAAAATTATAAAGTTAAATGGGTGAAACTGGGTAACATGTATAATTAAATGAATTAGGTTCGAGTTGAAAATCTCAACGTGTAATTACATGTTAGGTTCGGATTAAGATAAAAATAGTCGGACCAACCAACTTACCAATTCGGACCCAACCCATTTTGACACCCCTATTTTTAGGGGATGGGGACGATGAAAGTAATTAACCCCAAAAAAGAGAAAAGAAAAGAAGAGTGAGCCTCGTGATAAGTCAAATGACGAAATTGTCCATACTCTCCAGACTATAGATTAGGGCTTCAGCTCAAAACCCTCATTAGTGCCTCTTTCAGAAGAGAGTGAAAGGAGCTGCCGCCGTCTCCATTGACAGAAGCAGAGGAGCACTTCCGACGCCGCTGCCAACATGGGTTAGTTCATTCCTCTCCGATGACATTCTTATCTTGCTTTGTCCTTTCATGGGAAGTTTTCTGTAGATTAATGGGGTTCTCTGGGAAACAGGTATTTCACGAGATTCTATGCACAAGAGACGTGCCACTGGTGGCAAGAAGAAGGCATGGAGGAAGAAGAGAAAGTAAGTTTGTGATGTTCTTTTTCAGATTAGAATGATAAGCGAGAAGCCCTTCTGTTCTATTGTTCGATTTTCGTTAGGTTTGGTTGGTTTTGTGGTAAATGGAGATTAACTATTGTATAATCTCTGTACGGATTATGTATAAGAAGATTTTATTGGTTTAAATATGTTTGTTATACTGGGCTGTCCTTCTTACTGTAAGTGTGTTTGAATAAAAAACAAGGAGCCGTTTAAGTTATTGAGAGAATCAATATAGCTTCAGAGTTTGAAATTGAAGATACTTTAGTTTGAACTTTCTGGAAAATCCTCCGATGTGTGCTCTGGAAAGAACTTAAATGGGATGGTGGACACTTGTAGAACATCATTCTGTCTTGAGTTTCGGTGCTGGTTAAATTCGTGAAATGTTGCAGATATCTCTATTTTTTGGAAGGATATGAACTGTTTGGTTCCTAGATTGTGATTTTCATTCTATTGCTAGTTGAATGTTCATTTTGTTGGGATCTTTATTTTGCCTTTCTGCTGTATTATGCACAATGGGAGTATAACTTAATGGTTTGGTTCTTCTTTTATTTAAACCGTGCTTTATTTTCCCTTAACTTTCAATGAAGGTATGAGCTTGGTCGTCAGCCAGCTAATACCAAGCTTTCAAGCAACAAGACTGTTAGGAGAATCCGAGTGAGAGGTGGCAATGTCAAGTGGAGGGCTCTCAGATTAGATACTGGAAATTACTCTTGGGGAAGTGAAGCTGTCACCCGCAAAACACGTATCCTTGACGTGGTTTATAATGCCTCCAACAATGAGCTTGTCAGAACTCAAACCCTGGTGAAAAGTGCCATTGTTCAAGTGGATGCTGCTCCATTCAAGCAGTGGTACCTTCAACACTATGGTGTTGACATTGGCAGGAAGAAGAAGGCTACTTCCGCCAAGAAGGAAGGAGAGGTAATTGCATTTGTCTCGAGAACTTCATTATTCCACTTGCTTTTCTGGTTGCTCAACTTCCAAGTTTTTGTTGATTGCGCATTATCTTTATTATGAAGTCCTTCGCAGTCTGCAGTTGGCATTGACTAGTTCCTTAAATGATTTATTCTCAATATTGGGGAAATCAGTTGTTTAGTTCTTATAAAATGATTCTTTGCATTGCCTGTTTGCCATTCTCCTTGGCAATCTTCTCATCTGTTTGTGGATCAATTTGTTTCCTATATATGAGAACCTTGACAGAACACAGCAATATGTTTAGTACGTGTAAAATAGTTGTCAAGTATGCATTTACTCTGCACATCTAGTTCTTTTCCTCGTGGATACAAAATGCTCTACATTTATAGTTTCAACTATCATGACCAAATCATTTACAAGTCTTTTAATGTAAATCAACTAAATGCTGTTTTTGTTAACTACTATCCTGTTAATATGGTAAAGATACAATGTGCTTGCATTTGCTAGTATATTGGTACATGGTTTTTGAAACATCCTTGATGGGTGGATTTGCAGGAGGCTGATGGGGCAGCAGCCACAGAGGAAGCCAAGAAAAGTAACCATGTTGTCAGGAAGATTGAGAAACGCCAGAAAGATCGTAAACTTGAGCCCCATATTGAAGAACAATTTGGATCTGGTAGATTGTTGGCTTGCATTTCTTCCCGTCCGGGTCAATGTGGAAGGGCTGATGGGTGAGTATATCAGCCTTTGTTTACTAGTTACTAATTTTCTCATTGCTTGCTCAACTATGTATTCTGTAAACATTAATTTATTTGCTTAATTTTTGTATCAGATATATCTTGGAAGGAAAGGAACTTGAATTTTACATGAAGAAGATTCAAAGGAAGAAGGGCAAGAGCGCTGCTGCCTAAGCTCCAGTTCGCTTGAACCTTTTGCCTGGTCAAATGCAGTTATTTTTAGGTTCTGATATGGTTTAAGAAAACAATTTCGGATGTTCTGCTGAATGTCTTGTCTCTGTATTTTGAGGAGTATCTTGTTTGGATTTATATTTAGAGAAATATCTCCCTGTTTGAAAACATTTAGGAACTTCAGTTGTCTTTATAAGAATTTAACTAAGAAAATCCTCCCAAGACTTGTTTATGCTTTGTTAGACATCGTAGCAGCTATTCAGGTGCTTGGCCTATATCTAGAACAAAATATCAGTAGTGGTGAAGTGCATCTTTTCAATATTATTTCCAATGCAATCACTACCACCCTTGCACTTTTCATCAGTAGTATAGACTCGTTCTAGAACTTGATCCTCGGTTCTGTGGTCATAAAATTTAGGACATGTATAGTAAATTGAGATCAAAATTTGTTTTCTTGAAGAGGGACGCCTTGAGTATCATGACTTGAAGAGGGACGCTTTTTGACGAATTTGTGGAGCCACGATGATTTTTTTGTTCTTTGTTCTATATTATGGTAAAGAGAAGTTAACTTTCTGCCACCTTTTGGAAAATAAAAAACTTTCAAATTTGCTTCTTGCTCTGGAGTATTCCTATTTTCTTCAAATGTTTTTTTTTTAAAACGAAAAAAATTTTACCATAAACGACCAGAAAGCTAAGCATTATAGCTAATTCAGAATATTCAATCAATTCAAGACTAATCTATGTAAGGCCATTTGGCTTATCCAGATGCCCTAGCTTATCAAGACTTAATTAAAGAATCACCTTAAACACAAGGAGCAGAGGTGCGAAAATGGAGATATTGTTTTCAGGAATTTCAAATAAACACATATATGATGAGATTACCTGATCCATGTTTGAAATGGTAATAATCCTATAACTTCACGAGTTGACAGAAAATCATCACGATTACTTAAATACGAAATCTCTTTTTGGTTTTATCCTAAGATGTTTTACTCTTTAGAGAGGGATACAGCTTGGTGGAAATACGTCTAAGGCCTGCCCTCACTGCCATGATTGCAACAGACAAGCAGTCCCTTGTTTTCTCCCGGACGCTGGATAAAGTTCTGAAGGGTGTTCCTCCTATATGGAACAAACCCCAGTTTTGAGTAAGAGATAGCCACTAACATACAGCAATCATATTGCATTTCAGATGAACTGAGAAAGTATAACAACTAATGTGACCCAAGTAGCGAGAGCATTATGAAGTAACGCAATGATGAAAATAACTATCAGACAATGTTTTAATGCAGGAGCTACTGTCTTAGCAAATGATATATTATTTCCAAACCCTGAATCATTCCAGCCAGTACTTTTGTTTTTTGGGCTTCAAAAACCATCAATTTTGTTTTAGTAACTAGTGTGCAAGGTAGATAAGATACTGAAGGAAAATCATGATAAGCTTCTTGGTCTCTCATTGGAATGAAAGTTTTGAAGTGAAGGTGAAAAGAGCAAGAGTCAGAATGACTGATGCAATGAATTGACTTCAATGATTATTGCATACAGAATCAACTAACAAAACTGCCCCATTGATCTGGATAGATGTGTTCAGCAAACTCAAAAAGGCAAAAAAGTGAACTAGGGACTTCATAACTTACTATCTCTAGCCATCGCCATTGCCTGATGGTTTGCATTTGTCTCCTGCATTTAGTATGATAATCAAATTAGTGAGTGAAAAATGAGCAACTCTTAGTTTCTTTCAAAAATATTAGAACCCTTGACAACTAAAAAAGACCATAAAAAGATTATTCAAATGACTTACAGTTTGCTCTAGTTTGCGCATCTTTGCAATCATACTGCCATAGAACTGTGCATCCTTCCTGTTGTATTCTTTCACTTTCTCCTTCAGTAGTTTATATTCCATTTTGACATCCCTAGTCATCCATTTATTTGACCATATAAGGAACAGATATACAGCCGAAATACATAACTCGAATTGACAGGACACAGTTCAAACTGCTATAGCGCTGATATTCATATCGACTTGCAACCATCACACAATTTACATGTTCTATGGATCCATCAAGTCGTTAACTTCATATCAGGTTATGATTTTCAGCAGCTCTTAACTGGAAAAGATAATCACTTTCATGAAACCAAATTCATATGGTTTAACTCTATGTAATGCAACTTCATTCAAATTCCAATTCTGGGAAAGTAAACTTCCAGACATGAAAAGCTCTCCAGGTTTAGAAACCAAATCCAGAAGATTTGCACAGCTGAAGACAAAAGAAATACCTGTTTTCTGGATCGATTTCAAGAGCATGCTTTATATCTATTTCTGCTAAATCCAATTCAACTAGTTGAATGTATGCTTGAGCTCTTCTGTATAATGCTTTAACATTTTTACTGTCAAGCTCTAGTACCTCTGTGCACATTTTCACAGTGTCTTTGTATTCCTTTGACTTCAGTTTACAGGCTGCAATGTTCAACTTAAAACTGATTTTAAGCACCTTAGCCTGTTGTTTCTCCTCATCACTGAAATTGGAGTCATATTCTATGAATCCCACCCCCTGCCAGTAATAAAGAATACCTTGTCAGAAAAAGGAATTAAGAAGATATACCCAGGTAAAGAATTAAGTTATTGTATGTTGCACCTTTTCATATCTCCTAGAGGCTCTCTCATATTTCCCTGCCTTGAACCATTGGTTTCCTTCCTCTTTTTTCTTTGAAGCAGCTTCAAGTTTCTCTTGCACGTTCATGTCCCAAGATTCTTTCTCCTGAAGTGAAACTTATTAGAAATGCATTAGCAACAATCTACTCCAAACAGATTCGAAATGGTAATTTAAAAACAAGAAGCCATTATGATCCAAATGGGCATAATAAGGTTCTCAAACAGTGAAAATTGTTTTCTCACCTTTATGAAAGACAACATCTCAACCTGGTAACACACAGGGGAATTTCCAGGAACAACAGCCAGCTCTTGTCGCGACTCGGAGGAACCAAAAGCATAATCCGGCTGTATGGTAATGAGAGCAGTTTCACCCTTTTTCATGGTTCTTACTCCTCTATCCAGTCCATTAATCACTTGATCTACCAATAAACAACATAGGTTCAGAGATGAATGCAACATAAAATACCAGGTCAAAGGAGGAAATCCTTATCCTCTTTCCGCTTCCTTTTGGTCGTTAAAAAAGGAATTTCTAGTAGAAAACCAATTGTCCCACAACAACAAGAACAAGCTTTTCCCCACTACGTGGGTTTGGCAAAAAAGGAGCGTTACACAAGATGTTTTTATTTTGAAAAGTCAAAGAATAGTTCATTATAATATAGTGGCCAGTTGCTGGAAATTGGAAGAACAAGAGTAGCTTACATTTGAGTTATAGGATATATATTGACAAGTCAAAATATGTAAGAATCTGAAAAAGAAGAAAGAACACTATATGAATCCGGAAATATTCTAGGTTGGGCAAGAGGCCGATTTTTAGGATTTTAACCATTTTCACGGGTGAGCATATTAAGCATCGGCCAAGAGGAGTTCATGGATCTGTATCAAGTATAGGCTCAATTTCGATCAAGAAACATAGGAGCAAGTACCAAGCAAGTTTTGGGGAGGCATTGGAGCTGAAAGATTTTAAAGTAGAGTCAAAACAGAACAGGTGAGTGCTACTTAAGGAATCATAGCAAAGGCAAGGGGAAATTGCATCAGAGGAAAGTACATTTGCAAAAATCATAGAACTTCAGAAAATTGAAACAACGAAAGTACATACAGTAGAGTGCGGCAGAAATTGGAAGAAACCTTTGACAAAACAACGCATAAAATAAGAGATACTTTTTTCTTTTTTTTGGGGGGCCGGGAACTCCACCAGAAAAGACGGCAGGGGCAACAAAAAACAGAATGCTAAAGTCAACGTATGAACACACCGCATCAAATAAAATTTGGTAATGGATGGATAATTAATATCTCGGGGGTAGTCCCAATGACTAATGGAATGAAGGAAACATGGAACACATAAATATAACAACAGATTCAAGAGGGTAAAGGGAAGATGAAATGGAACTAAACATCAATTAAGTTCAAAAAAAAATCCATGTTTTGATAGAATGCAATGATGAACATCATCCACATAGATGAAACAGAGCAAGAAAAGGTCTTTAGTGTTCCTGTGGTAGACAAGAAGCATGTGATATTCAAAAATGCATTTTAAAATAGAGGCAACAGTACTGCAAATGAAATATAAGAGGAAGGAAGACTGATATTGTAGTTTGCATCAGAAGAATTGGGCTCACCTTCATCTACCTTGAACTCGAAGGGTTCAACATCATCTCCTTTTTCCACAAAAACAGTTCCATCTAGCAGCTTACCAATCAATTTGACTGTCAAGTGAGAACAAAATATTACAAATGATATCCAGGTATCATTGTTATTCAACTTTGTAATATTCTTTCTTTCAAGCATACCTTTCACAATCGTGCAATCATCTGGCCGTTCATATCCTTCTCCCTCTTTCAAGATTTTCTTTACAACCTTGTTGTCATTGGTGACATTAGAAACTGTTTTCCATGAAACTAGTTCCAGGTTAATCTGAAGAATAGCATTTGGCGGAACAGTAACTTCCTCATCAGTTTTGGTCCTTCCCATCTCACCAAATGCATCTGCGATGATCACCAGTCAAAAATCTGAAGGAAAGCATTGCAACTGAGCAATACAAAAAGTACACCAACTTACATTCTGGCTTCACTGTCAAGAGAGCCTTTTCACCCTTCTTCATTGTTTTAATAGCTTTAGCCAAGGCAGGGCAGAAGCAGCCTACACAGCGAATTACCCAGTTACAGTCATTAAGAGGACACGCTGAGAGAAATTCCATACGATCATTAGGAAAATTACCTTCTTTTACTGCAAACTCAATTCCATCAGAATTTGAAATAACGGTTCCATCCATCAGTTGGGCATCATATCTGACTGTAAGTGAAAATCCAATATTCAACGGTCTGAAAAAGTGATGGTGTTAGGGAAAGTTGAAAATGCAATAAAAAGTAAGAAATAAAGAGCTACGCACTAAAAACTTCATCAAGATCTCTGGGATTCTGCCAACCCTCTCCTTCAACCAGTACTTTCTTGAGTATTCCACCATCCTTGCAGATGTCCTTCACACTGGTCCAAGAAAGTAACTCAATTTCAAACTGCAGAGTGGCATTGGCAGGGATTTTAGGTGGCGATCCAGATTCCCCATAGGCCAACTCAGGAGGAATGGTAAAGAGAGCCTTTTCGCCCTTTTTCATAGTCTTGATACCCTCATCCCACCCCTTTATAACTTCACCTGCATAAGGTTGAAAGTTAGACTGCAGAATCAAATAACCACCCCCCCAAGAAAAACGAATAAATAAAAATAAATAGAACACTTTCGATTGCTAGATTATTATCATCATTTTTTTTTTTCATATCTAACTAGAAAAGGACAGTTGATACTTGGATACATTTTCAAACAATGAGAAAACAACTATGAATATCCGTACATGCGCCAGATTAAGTTTTTAAGAGATATGCAGGGTATTTAAAATCCATGCACATACAATTGGAACTTCTTTTTCTGTTGTATGAAACATCAAAATGTGATCACAACAGCAAGGGAAACCCATTCTTTTCAATTTAACTGCAAAGATTCTCTATATTTTTTCTTTTCAAAAGAGTAACCCTTCGGAAGTGATTGACGAAGCTACTTAACAAATTATAGTTCGTCCAGAGAGCCTTTCTTCCTCTCTGACAAACCTCCAATCTTTTAACTGGAGGTATCAGAGAAAGCAAACTTTAAGGAGAGTCTAGTGATGCTGCTGTTTCTGGTTTTGCTAGATTTCAGAATTCCATGCCATTAGTGACATGCACCATGAAAGTAGTAGAATTCCAGTACAAACATGCCATTTTGAAATCTTAAATCAATCTTTAATTGATACATAGCATGGAAAAAGCCATTGACACAAACTTGTCTAACATTTGTGACGAGAACATGGTATCTTTCCACAACATCATCATACCAATTTCAAGCTAATGTCAGAACATCGTTCCACTCCCTCATATCTCAGTCATTTCATATCAGCTCGAAAATATTTTACTACGTGTAAGTTTAGAGCCATATTGAACTCAAGATGCAAATACAAAAGGACGTGGGGCATTGATAAAATTGCCTATACCTAATAATGCCTTCCAAAGCTTATGCAGTCAAATAGGAAATGTAGTTCAGACAAATACTAATCAATGGAAAATAGACTTCAGTTGCACCCCAGAGCACCCCCACATTCAAAAGGATATATCAAAAAAATTGTATGGAACTCTAAATTCAGTAAACCCTACCTTGACCAAGCTTAAACTTGAAGGGTGTTTCCCTGTCACGGCTTGAATCAAATTGAGTTCCATCTAGGAGAGTGCCCACGTAATGGACTGCAAAGATTAACATTCAATCAATGCCAAAGAAAAATCCTGAATAGAAGTAAATAAACAATTAAAAATTGCATACAATCAAATGACAAGATCATGCGCTGAACATCTCAGAATGAGAAGGATAGTCTCTAAAAAGTCAATTGCAAATACTCAATCTCTAAGAGTTAACAAAAGCAATAATGAAAAGAATAAAAATCCAAGAAATAAACAATCATGAATCTCTAACTAAAAAAGAATGTGGATTATTAACAAACGTATCAGAGAAATGAATGAATAAAAAGTTCTAGTACTTCCAGTTTCTCAAACGTAGAAGATCATTACAGTGAAGAAGATCAAACGAAATAAAATCTGCAATCTCTTAGTGAATAGGATTTTGAACAGGGAAGACTTTGATTCATTTAGAAATGTACCTTCAACTTCATCCCCCGAATTGGGATGATCCCATCCTTCACCGTCTTTGATTAGCTTCTTCTTCAACCCACTAGTACCAATTTCTCTCTCTTCACCAATTTCAGGAATTGGGTTCGTCTCAGGCAAACCCATTTCGTCATCTCCACCCATTTCACCAGCCATAGCATTGTACTCATCAAAGTTTGGAAATCCATACCCAAACTCATCGCCCATCATCATCTTAGGAGTAATACTCGTTAAGTGCAAAATCTCAAAAAATTGGCAGCGTAGAGGAAAAGGGAGCAATTCCTATGCGGCGAAATCAATGTCAGTTGATTGCTGAAATGTGTCAGCGATTTTTTCAAATGGGTAAATGCGGATTGGCGGGTCTGAGTTGATCGAGAATATTCTTTTAATTGGTTTAGTGAAGAAGGAGAACGTTGACTCATTTAGTAAGAAGTAGACTCTCGAAAGTTCGGAAGATTTTGATACTAAAGTACCCGTTCTTTTGACGTAATGGAAATGGATATAAAGGTTATTTGATTCCAATTCCTATCATTCTAATTCTCTACAGTTTTGCTGTTCGATAAGTGTTAAATAACTTTGTAATCTAATTATAAGTATCTAGCAATTGCCAATCATTATTTCGTGATCTCATCCAATGGTTCTTATCTTATGAGAATCTATCTAACAGTTGAAATAAAAATGACATAAATGATAAAAATAATTTTTTTTATTCTATAAATATGGAAAACGAATGTAATAGAATTAACATCACTTTTCGTATCCTTGCATTTTTACTAGCGTATAAGTTTTTCAAAAAAAAAAAAAAAAAACAATGGCCTTTCAATCTATAGGATACACAATTGGTGAAGACAAAATCTTGTGGCAATTGTATGTGAGTGTTTCTCAAGATCTAATAAGTGGCTATTCACAAGCATGTGAAGTGTTTTGAAGCAGGATTGTTGAAAGTTGCAATAAAACAACAAAAAGGAGTGTTTTTATTCCACATATTGATAAATCTCTCGCAAAATGATAATGAGCTATAGAAAAATAGTTCAAAAATTTTATGAGTGCTACAATGAAGTGGAGGACATGCATCCAAGTGGAGAAAATGAACAAAATCATGTAAGTAATTAAGCAATAATTTTATATTAATTATGTAATTTGGCAATGATTTTTAATCTTATTTATATTGTTTGCCGTTAGATCATGCAAAATAATTATTTGTGTTAGGTACAAATTAAGATTAATATTCAATAATGTGTCGACCATACTCAAAAAATTTGAGAAATATAACGATCATGCCATTGCAGCAAGTTACAAATTTAACAGACACACTTAATTCGAATTTGATGATCTAACTCCCAAATCTCAGGTACATGAATCTCAACAGTGTTGTCATGCTCGGCTCCGGCCGGCCGGTTAAACCAGTTTAATCAGAAACCGGATCCCAAACCGAGCTGAGCAGGTCAGAAAATCGTTTGTTTCAGAATCGGTCAAAACCGGTCAAAAATCCGGTCGAATCAGAAATCAGGTAAACTCGGATCGGACCGGTTTTTGAAGATTTTGACTTTCTGCTCAGAATTTTTCTCATTCCAAGACCAATTTTTTTGTCTTTTGTTCACAATTGGCCTCTAACTTTCAGTATTTGTTTTGTTCAAAGTATTGATTTGATTTCTTATTCCCCAATTTTTTATTTTAACTACTTAAAGCACTATATATATATATTTTTTATTTTGTTGCACAAACAAACTTTCTACGTCTTAAGCCCAATTTGAACTATAACTTTAATATATCAAAATTGATTTCATTCTTAATGTTTAAAGTTAATTATCTTGCAAATTCTATTTTTTTTAATAATTTGTTTATCTTAATAACCTTATTAATATAGTTCTTACTTTATAAAAATTATAATTAACTAATACAAAAATATAAATATCAATTATTACAATAGAAGAGAATTATAAAGTTTAATTTTTTTATTTTAAATATATTAAATAACTAAATATTATTTATTTAGTAATAATTACATCATCTTAATCGATCTTCCAAGGTCAATTTTGTCCAATAAAGTACTAATGTGACTTTCATAATGATAAATATATATAATTTTAATTAAAATATAATTATTTATTATTTATTATTTATTACGTCATTATAACGTCATCCGAGTCGATCCCCGAGTCGCTCGACCCCCTCACCATGTCGAGTCGAGCTCCGGTCCGAGCTTGATAACACTGATCTCAACCACCCAATTTTTCTGACTTTTCTGACTTGGGTAACAATGATATAAACAGATCTTCCTCTAAAAGACCAATTAATGTGAAAATCGCAAAAGCAAGATAACAATGGAGAAACAATCTTCTTCCGAGTTGCAAAAATTCAAAGAAGCAGATTAACAATTATTGTGATCTTATAAAAGTTGCACGAAAACTGAAATGCTAGACATGTGAAAAAGATACAAATTCAAATGCAAAAATTAACTTTAAAGAAATGAGCGAAAGAAAATGAAATCATGGAAAAATACTCTACCCAAATTACAAATCCTAAATGTACCGTACTTTTGTTGAAAGTAAACAACATCAGATTATGCAAGACAAACTACAACAAAGCCAACAACAACCACAACCACCAAACTCAAGTTTGGTGAAATTTTTATCAATATTGGTGGAGATAGAATTGACCTCCTAAATTATTATTAGTAGTTTTATTTGATTAGTGTGTGTATTATCAAAGTTTGTGTGTATTCTTTTTTATTGTATTCCTACGTATTTTTAGGTATTACTATTAATGTATTTGTGTTTGTTAATTATCTTAAAATTAATGTGTTTATATTATTAACTTTTTTTATTGTATTCCTATGTACTTTTAGTTATTACTATTAATGTATTTTGTTTTGTTAATTATCTTAAAATTAATGTGTTTATATTATTAGTTTTTTTTCACTAATATCATATCTCTACATTTCTAATTATATCATGTAGTTTTTGTGTGGACATGATTAAATAAGTCAATTAATTATTTAGAAGTTATAATTTAATATTACAACATCAAAATATTATGAATTTAATGATTTAACATTTATACACAACAATTATAATTTATAAATTACTTAATTTACAGGGTTGTTTTTGTAAAATTGCAAACTAACTAAAAGTTAAAAGGCATTTGGTGCCAAGTTCACCATTGGCCTTGAATTGAGACACCAAATCACCAGCATTGGGAATGTCCTAACTGAAAAAACAACGTTATCATGGTATAATTTTGAATTAGCTTTTTCATGAGATTTATATCTCTTTCGGTTTGTTTTGCATTATTTAAGGTTCTGTTTGCAATGTTTGTCTAATGAGTACTTTTCTTTTGAAAATATAAAAATATGTATTAAATGTAAGCATATACAGTAGAACTTAAGAAATTAAAAAAACTGGCCCTAAGATGGAGGGAGTAACATTTAGAATTGTTGTTGTTTTTGTTTTTTTTGAAAAGGACATTTAGAGGTTTTTTTTTTTTTTTTGGTTGAAAGGGTACCTGTTAGAGGTATTACAATTTGAAACACCTAAACTATTACACATGATCTACAACTACCCTAGTACTACACTACAACTACAACTTTTGTGCAAGCCTTCTGTTGGTGCTCAAAGATGTGCAGATCTCCTGCTTGCTGCAACTCGCGCGCTTTGCTCCATTCACCGGCATAGCTACTTCGGGGGTATGCTGTGCTAGCCAACCAAACTGAACTTCAACTGCATTTTTTTGGGGGACCAACCAACCAAACTGGACTTCAACTGCATTTTCTTTGGGGAATCGGCACCTCTATGGAGTGAGGAGGTGACTAGATCTTGTCACAATGCTCCCTGTAGTAAAGACACTTTAAAGTGCCCATGGTTTGACTCAAACCTATGACCTTCATATTGAGTGGGTTTGTCCTTATGCACTAGGACAACCCATGATTCACGACATTTAGAGTTGTTATTGAAGTAGTACCAACAATTCATTCTACCCTTTTCGGAAAAAAAAATTATTCTTCTTCAACTTTCTGTATGATCTGCTCAGATTTGGGAAAGATATTTCTAACACTCCAGGAAGCAATTCAGCATGGGAAAAGATATTGCGAGAAATAATCTTTAAGCTCAACAAGTAGTTTTAAAAGCATCAAAGATAAAAAGGAAATGTCTAAGGAAGATATAATATAATGAAATGTAAGTATCTAAACCTTTTATGAAAGAGAGAAAAAAAAAAGTATAGTAGTGATTCATATTATATTTGTGTACTACTACCTGATCACTTTCGTAGCATAAAGTCATGAAAACAAGATACAAAAAAGTTTCTGTATACAGCCAAACCGAAGAACCAATGACAATGTTTTTTGTTTTAAAAAAAAGATACCTATTATTAATATTAAGTACCAATACTATTACACCGAGTCATATTTCCTGAAAAACTTTAATTCTTGGCACAGAATTCAGTTATGATAAAGAGAACTAAAAAACCTCAAGAATTCAAAGTTCTAACTTATCCTTTATGGAGTCGCTCCAATGCAAACCATAATCGGTTGGAAATTGGTGGTTGCACTTAATGACGCGTGCTCTTCACGCGCTGTTACGCAGCATGAAGCTTCCACTTGCACACTTAATGCGCAGAATTTTGGTGTGTCTTGTTTTTTTTTTCCTTTTTATTGGGGTTTATGGGTTTTAAAATTTTCTTTGATCTTCAAATGATTTTATTTTATAATCCCTAAATAATTAGACTAAGTATTTTATATCATTTTGATAGTACTCGACAAGATCTATCCAATAAGATCCATCATGAATATATTTTTTGAAACTTAAAAAAAATTTATTAAATGACCTTGGTCTTCCTAAAAGACATTATGGTCTTACTTGTTACTCCTAAGTATTTTGTGAAAACTGTTTGGTCTTTTTATTTGCTGTTGTAGGTCTTGACTTATATGTATTTACCTTGATCTTCCTGAAAGACATTTTGGTCATTCTTGTTTATACTATCGGTCTTTGGTATTCCATTCTTGATCTTTGACTTTTGGTCTTTGGTCTTTGTTCCTCGCACGTGCTCGTTCTTCACTCTCATCTTTGGTATTCGGTTTTTTGCTCTTTGACTTTTGGTCTTTAGTCTTCGATTTTTGTCCTTTTCTTCTTTGCTCCCCACACACGTTCACTCTTCACTTTGGCAATCAGATGTAGATGCTGTACACCATTACTCGAAGAATATCTTTG